GTAGGCGTTTAAATTACACCAAATCAATTTTTATAATAATAACTCTCAGTTAAATAATGTATCAGAAGAGGTCTCATAATAACTACCTCTTTCATAAGCATTGCCACTGTGTTGTTGTTGTTATTATTATTATATTATAGTTATTATTAGTTATTATTATTTATTATTATTATTATTATTATTATTATTATTATTATTATTATTATTATTATTATTATTATATATTTCTGCGTATTGGCCGTCCTGGGGCCATGACCCCATCGGGGCTCAGTCTTGATTATCAGGGTAGGTGCACGTCACTTTTCTATTGGGAGGGATCAGCATTTTATGCTGATTTCATTTTTACCTCACAAGGTTGTAAGCCCAGGGAGATGGGGTGAAATAAAGAGGAAATAGACACACACACACGTCTGTCCAAAAATGCAGATTTGCTGAAATGATTTATTAATGTTGCTATATAACTTATAAATCACAACAGGCATATGGTAAAAACATTAAATTTACATAAGAAATTTTAATTATGAATTAATTATAAGATTAAATATAATTAAATATATTAATTATTAATTTGAATTTTAAGAATCAATCAAATCTCGTTTAAATTGAAGAAAAAATAAAATTTTGCTATTTCATTTAATTATAAAACTAACAAGAATGCTGTAAGGAATTTATACCATAATGCGAAAGTAAAATGCAAGACTCAAAATAATTTTAATTTTGAAGCAATACACAATTTAGTGAAATAAAACTGTTCTTTACTGAACTAGAAATATTTTCATCTTCATGGGTTTATGCTTACATGGACGACACATGATCAGGATCAAAGCATATCGAAGGAGTGAAAGAAATCAATTAATTGGAAATGACAAATGTTTCAAATTGTGTATGTATTGAATAAGTCAGAAATCATTTCATGTAATTTGAAGGTTCAGTAAAGAATAAACTTATGCACCATAGATGGTCAGATTTAAATGACAAATTGCAAGCAGTAGTCATTAAAATTTCTTGAACACCGATGGTCCACAGCAAATTATATTCACGCCAATTATTGAAGTTTTACAATAATTTTAAAGCCTAATGCCCCTGGGCTTACAAACATTACAAAACATCCCGGCATTTACATTAAGTGATCTGGGAGAACAAAGGAATAAGTATGTTTTCAATTAAATAAAAAAAATTAATAAAAACTTAATCTGCAATTGCATTAAAAGAAATCATTAAAAAGCAGCTTTAAGAATTTTGGCTGACCTTACTAAGTAATAAACTACTTAAAAATTTTACATATATTGACTGAATACCCATCCTCCCGATCAGGATGACAACTGAGGGTTTATTTCTATCATGCACACAGGAACACAAGTGAAGATATTAGATGGTTACAGCCATACATAAAATAATATACATAAGAATTCCATGTTTAGAAAATGAAAAATCTGTTACAAACAGCTACCGAGCAACATAGAAAAATTTAAGCATCATGATAAATACAATAAACAGGCATGTTATTGTTATAAGAAAATACATTTTTGATGCAAACATCTTTGAGCAAATAGTAATGTACAATAAAAAAAAGAAAAGGCAAAGAAAAAACAAAACATAGGCAATACCAAATTTATTAAAAAAAACTTGCTACTTAACGTGTACATTACTTGAAACTCTTGACCCTATGAAAATCCAAATTGTCCAGCAGAAATGTTTACAAGGAAATTTGCTTCACGTTACAGTATTCAAAATAATACATTATGATAAAATTTACCTACGAAACAAATAAAATTTATAGACATTAGTAGAAAACCGTTGAAAATTTACTTAAAATGAAAAATTAATAGCTAAAAATAACGCAGTGCATCAGTGCTAAAAATTAAATTTTATTGTCAATCGTGACTAATAATATAATGAAATATGTACTCACTAATTCCACTTAACAACTAATTTCCCTTTGAACAAAACATCTAAATAAAATTATGCATATTGAGAACACCATTATTGCATATCTGAAACATTTAGTAATGTAATGTAAGTTTCACTCACTCTTTCAAGTGTAGTCATTTAAATGACGTAGCTTTCGTAACAAAAATTTGGAGGCACTGGCAATAATGAACTGTATTATGAGAAAAATATAAAAAATTTAAGTATCCATTAATTAATTGTGATTAATTAATGGTAAATTAACTGGTACTCTTCACTGCTTTCTTTGTTCGCATTGACAAGGCAGTAGTACACCCAAGATATGATATACATATTAAATCCCGTAATACATACTTACTTACATGACATTGCAAAAAATCTCGAAACAAACTGACTAATAGAAGTACTGGCATGAACAATTGACTGTAATGTAATGATATTAATTTAATATCCATCAATTACCACAAATGCACAATCAAATAAATTCAAGCAATACCTTTTCCCTAGCACAGTAATGCTATTATTTGCATTAACTAAACTTTGGTGGTTGCTTCAATGTGGCAGAGGTTTTTAATTCATGAACACATCTATAATATTGAAGTTCATATGTCAGAAGTGTACGACTCTTATATTAAAACTATTTTCGCATACTCTCTTTTTTTAATATTGCAACCACTCTTGAACCAAATAAACTGGAGCACTGACAGGAACAATTGACTGCAAAGTAAGAATATTAATATAATAACCTTCAATTGTCACATACCAACAATCGAGTAAATACAAGCAATACCTTTTCCATTGCACAGTGGGATCCTACTCGTTCACAAACTGGACTTTGCTGGTTGATTTCTGGAGGCAAGAGTTCAGTAATTTCAAGGCAGGTCTATAATTTTCAAGTTTGTATGTCACAAGTGTATGACACTTAATGTATTAAAACAATTTATGCATTCTCACATGTTTGACTATGCAACCGTTCTAGAACCAAGCAGACTGAAGCACTGGCAGGAACAATTCACTGCAATGTAACACATTAATTTAATAATCTGCAATTACCATAAACCCAAAATAGAGTAAATTCGAGCAATACCATTTCTGTTGCACAGTGGGACCCAATTCTTTGCATTAACTAAACTATCGCAAAAGTGCAGTTTCACAACGTCAGCACGTAGATAGAGGAGGGACGTGTTAAAATTCCCTCTTTGGAGTTAATCTGCACGCTGTGGTAAGGCCCTGTGGCTGGGGGGGGGGGGGGAGCAGGTGGTAGTTGCTTTAAGGGGTCAGATGTTTGTAATTAATGGTGCATCTAATATTGAAGTTCATATGTTACAATATTATCACTGTTACACCAAACTCAATGCTTTTCTACTTATTTGATCGACTTTGCTACTGTACTTGATCCAAAGAGACTATCTGAAACATTGGCAGGAACAATTGTTTGAAAATTGGGGGAATGTTTTAATGAAATGAAATTTCTTAAATTCTCAGTCAAGTAATTTCCAACCTATACCTGTTCTGTGGCATAGTGTTTTGAACATCTACTCTAATGATTGTGGGTGATCACTGTAGCTCTTCAATAATTGTCTGTATGATCCACTGAGTTTTTCCACTTTTATTTTGTGACCTGTTAACAATTTTCTAGATTCCCTTTGTAACAATTTAAAAGGAATTTTAATGATTACTGTTACCAAATATATACCATTTTTCTTAGTGGGGTATTGGAAACTTACCTCATTTATTGCGTCATACCACACAGCTTTTGCTCTCTCCATTCCTTGCCCTGGCCTTTCACTTACTGTTTTATTGTAGTACCCTTTTGAAACGCCCCACACATGTTTAATAGGATTGAATTTGCAATAATATGGTGTCGGTCTCAAAACTGTGTAACCTTCTGCAGCCAGCATTTAATCAACTGCATACCTTTACCAACATATTGCTGAGGTCAGTTATATATTAGGTTTCTACATCATTTACTTATCACCAGTGAAAATGTTTATATTTGGACATTGATGCTTTCGCTACTTTGTTCTTGGATGCCTCTAACTGCCTTGGATGGTAGGAATAATTATCCATGACAATTGTAAATGCCAGGGATCAGTTGTTTTTTAACCAAGGATTCAAAAAAAAAAAAAAAAAACTGTTCATTGCTTCCACGATAATCTTGTGCCTTTTTAGATCAGTGGCAAATATCAGACCAGCACCTGACCACAGTGTCAGCAGTGACCAACACAAGCACCATCGTATACACACCTTAGTTTGTACATAATGTCATTAAAACACGAAACACGTGTACCTGGTACAAAACCTTTTCTTGTTCCTGCATGAGCCACTAGTAGCTTCCTTCTCTCTGTTGGTTTTTTAATTACTCCTTTACTTGTGCCTGGTAGTAGCCATGAATATGTGTTTGAACCTAATGAAAAAGAAATTTTTGTCTCATAATTTTTATATGTAAGTAACAAAACAATTTTCAAAGGTCTCTTTTACCATTCGTATAGACCCATGTCTTGTCTAGATACACTACAGTCTTTGGGTTTTTACTTTTCTTTTTTTTCATAGTCTGCCACAAAATACTCTTTACAATAATTTCATTGGTCTTAAAAATGCAAATATTTGGGTCTCCTTTCCTTCGTGCTAAACCCAATTCCTTAATACTTCTGTTCATTGTTGTGTATGATCCTTTCAGAAAGAAAATCTAATAATTTTCTTTCACATACTGCCAAACATCTTTAAGAGAGTCTCCTGCTTGTTGCAAAATGAATTGGTCTTGGAAAGACTTCCAAAAGTGTCATGTACTTCATCATTCCTCTAAATATAAAATGTCAAACCATTATCAGCTTCCTGGTAAATACCCCTGGCAATAGCTTCTCTTGCAAAGCCATCAGCTGAATCTCTCACAGGCCGTGACCACTTCCTCTTCCTAGTTGGAGTTTTAAAAGATTTTCGTCTCTTTTGATCCTTAATAAGGTTTGCCAGAGTTGTATAAGGTCTCTGTAATATAGTAATATATTTCAATAAAATAATTATGATCCAAATTGACTTCGTCTTCTGCTTGACTGGACAGTTGTTTCTCATAATAGAAGACATAGAAATGTCAA